CTCCTTTGCGGGCTAATAAGTGATACAATATTCCCCCGGCTAATAATCCTAATACGGAAAAGAAAAAGAGGTCAAACAAAAATTTAATTCCATTTCTAATTTTAACTAGTCAATTAATGTTAGAATTGAGCCAAAAAAAGGTTAAGAATAAGCAACTGAACGAAGATAGCCAAATCCTTTTTGAAAAAGCTCAACAGTGGAAAAAGAAATATGAGATAATGAAAGGTAAACATGAAGCCCGCGATAATACTTGTCTTTCTTGCTCGCAATTCCATTCCGATAGTCATGTTTTCCCTACTTGTCATTTAGAACATGGTTCGCCTACTGATTACGAGANAAATCACACTTGTCCGCCAGTTTGNTCGGAGGAATATCACCAGCAAGTTAGATTAGAGCAAGAAAAAGAACTAATTCAACAAATTAATACTGAGTGTCAATTAGGTTGTAGTTCCGATAGTAATCGTTCGCAGATAATTAAGCGAATTAAAGAATTGATTAATACTCCGGACGGAGAAAGTTTAATTATTATTATTCAATTNATTAGAAAGGGCGGACAATGGCGTTGCTTTTTTCTTTTTATAAGCAGAATATAACTACTCTCCCAGAACAATTTGAAAAGGATTTTCCGATAAGCGGGTCCGGGAGATGAATTGAGCCGGATAATTAAGCATAAAAACCGGTTGATTATTGAAATAACTATTTTATCCTAAAATAATATTATGCCAAAACACCAAAAATCAGATACCGAAATTACTCTTAGTAAACACGCTATTCTTAACCAAATCCGGGAAAAGTTAGCAAGTATTAGAGATAATAATAATAATAATAATAATAATAATAATAATAATAAACTCGCACAGATTTTACCAGAATTTACCTCCCTTTTAGAGTTCATGCTCGTGCGGGTGGGAACTTTGGCCGAAACCGATACTCCCGAATTTGAAGCAGAAGCTAGGGAAATAGAAGCGAAACAGGAAAAAATATGAAATTTACTGAGCGAACTTGGAGGAATTTTAGATAGTCAAAATGTCCAAAGCGACCATTCTTTCCGAACAATTGACGCCGAAGCGACCGCCGCTGAAAATTCTCTCACTGATTTAGAGACCGCAATTAATTCGGAAATCGTCCCCAGTTCCGCCGCTGGCACCGAAAAAGTTGCTGAATTATACCGAGATATCGAAAAGAAAGAATCCTCAATTAGTAGTTTAGAAAAGGAGAATAAAAATTTACAAACTGAAATCGCTCGGTTAAAAGCCGACCAAGCCCGCCAATCTAACCGGCATGCCGGCGAAAAAAAAGTTTGAGAAACCTTCGCTACTGCCAAAGAAACTGAAAAGGAAGCAGATTTAACTAAAAAAGAAAATTATTGAAAAAAAGAACTGGAAAAAGTAGACCAGGAGAAAGAGCGAATTGAAACTAAACTCCGCGACCTTACCATTACTCACCACCAGCAAGCCGAAAAAATGACCGCTCAGCAAAAAAAAGCCGCCGAGCAAGCGAAAGAATTAAAACTCTCTCGGCAAAAAAATGAGGAATTTGAAACCACTCTCCTAAGTTACGAAGGCTTAATTCAAATTTTAACCACCCAACGCGATGAGGCTAACCGGGAGAAAGAGGAAATTCAAGCCGAATGAACCGCTTTTAACCACCAAACCCCCCGCGAAAGCCCCCACCACAGTCGCCACAACAGCCTTAGTCGCCCCTCCTCGGGCTATTTTTCCCCCGCCCCGCTCAGTGCCGAACCTCTCGATATTGTGCTTGGTCAAACTTTCCCGACTCCTTCTACTCCTTCTACTCCTTCTACTCCTTCTACTCCTTCTACTCCTTCTACTCCTTCTACTCCTTCTACTCCCTCGTCCCGCCGAGATAGTAGTAAAGCGAGCCGCCGTTCCTCCACCGCTGCCACCCCTTACCACTCGGTCCGGAAGCGAAAATCAAGCGATAAGGTTATTAAACTGGATGACAATGCCTTTCATGACAGACTTCTCCGTAAATTAGAGAAACAAACAACCCGCCTGAAAGCCTTAGAAAATAATTTAGCCCGCAGTGAAGCCGACAATCGCCGCTTACTTGCCGAGAATGAAGAACGCCAACGTTCTCAGGAAGCTAATTTAATGGCTTGATATCATACTCTTGCCGCCTGAACGAAAACTACCGCTATCGCTCGCAGTTATTTAAAACTTTATTTTAACCGACCCACTTTCTTTTCGCTGGATGAAGTTCGGAACCGGGAATTCCGGAAAATTGAACTTCCGCTTGAAGTTCACCGAGGGGCTTGAAAAGCAAAGATGAGAGAAGCCGGTTTACCCGACCCTTTCCCCAGTCCCGAAACCCTTCCCCCGGTTCCCGAGGAGACCAGTCCCCTTGCCAGCGAAGCCCCCGACCCGGTTAACCTCCGTGATGATGAAGCCCTTAGCGATGATGAAACCCCTACCCAGGAAAACCCCCACTCCGCGGCAGAGTTTTTTCCTCCCCCTGCCAGCCCGATTGAAGCATTAATAAAACAAGCCGAAGAAACCTTCAAGGCTCCTCCGCCCACAATTTCCGGAACCGAAATTACTTCCTCCGCTCCCGAAACCTCTCTCGCTGAACTAACCCAAAAGCAAGCCGCTATTTTTTCCCAAAACGAAGCCGAATTTGCGAACCTGGAAGCCAGTTTTGCCGAAATTAACAAATTATGAGAGGAAGTAAAAGATAATTTAGTTGATGCGACCGATTGAGCCGCCGATATTCAAAAAACCCAAGATTTTTTAGCCAGTTTACTAGCCCGGGAAGAAAAATGAGTTGAAGAATATGAAACTAAATTAAAAGATTTACCCGCCCAAATCCACGCTGCCGAAACTGACTGAGAAACGGGAGAAAGATTACTCCATGAGGAAGAGAGTATTTTGAAACATTTTGAAAAAGATACCGACCAGCAAGAGCGAAATTGCGAGATTTTATCCACTAGTTCCGAAAAGACCCCTTCGGCTAAACCCAAGTTTAAACTTCCTAAATTTTTCCGTCGTAAATCTTCCGACCCCACGGAAAACGCCCAAGCCAATTTCTACAAATCGCTCGAAAAATATTTTGCCGCTAAACAGACTTTTGAAGTTCTAAAAGAAAAGCAAATCCTTCGCGACCAAAAACTCCGTGAACTTCAACTCAGCGAGGCAAAAATAAATAAAAAACTAGCCTACTATTCCACTTCCGCCGCCCAAATTAAGCATTTTCAAACTGAATTAGCCGANCAACTTGCNCTCCTGAATGATATTTTAACTCAAACNGAAGCTCTCAAAACCGAGATGCGAAACCCCTCTCCNACCAGCGAGCAACTTGCTCACCAGCAAACGAGCGGAGAGGATATCCGAAAAAAAACGGAAACTTTCCGAACTCAGCAAAAAGAAACTTCTCTTAATTGAAGTCAACAACGGGAGGAACTACTCGCGGAACTCTTGTCAAAACTGGATTGTCTCGCCGCGGAAATTGCTAAACTTCAATCCGAAAAAGTTAAATTAATCTCCGAATTAACTGCCTCCGAAACTTCCTGGAAGAAACTCGCCGAAGGAAACGACCTGGCTACTGAAATCTTAACTCTCCGGGAGAAAATTAAAGAATTAGAGTTAGCATTAGCCGGGAAAGAGAGCGAGAATGATAATTTACAAGCGGAATTAGGGGAAGAAGGAGAACGGGCGGGTGATTTACAACTAGAAAAGTCCGCCGCCGAAGCCGCGAACAAAGAATTAAAAGATAAATTAGCCCAGCAGGATACGGAGATAAAAGATTTAAACCAGAAAGTGGGAATATTAGTGCTGGAAAATAGAAAATTGGAGTTTGCGAGGACTTCCCAAGCCAACCAGCCGACCACCCAAAAAGTTCAACCTGCCCCAAACTCCGCCGAAGCAAAAAGATGTGAAGCCACAGAATACGAAGCACACCAAACCCTTCAAGCCGAAAACCGCCGATTAAAACTTGCCACCCAAGGGGCGAAAGATTTACTGAGTCAACTTGACAAGTTAAGTGCGGAAAATCGCCAATTAAAATCCAAAATTAAAAGTTTAGAAGAACTGTTCGCGGAGTTAAAGAAAGCGAAAACCGAAATGAGTGA